AGCTGTGCATGCAGATTTTTGAGGAGATGCCCGCAAGAAGGATATCACGTGATGTCATCACTCACACCTCCATGCTCAAGACCTGTGAAAAGGCTTCAAGGTGGGGAACAGCTTTGCAGTGCTTTCACGACATGCCAACGGCCAAGCTCGTGCCGGATGTCATCAACCACAGCTCGGCCATCAGCATCTCCAAGGAGGGCGGGGCCTGGCAGCTTGCGCTGAACATTTTTGACGACATTGCTGCAGGACGCCTCAGCCCTGATGTGGTTTGCTACGGCGCTGCGATTGGCGCTTGCGAGGGCGGGGGCTGTTGGCAGATTGCTCTGGATTACTTGGAAGAGATGCGCGCGGGGAAAGTAACTGGGAATGTTCTCAGCTGCAACGCTGCAATTAGGGCGTGTGCCAAGGGCAATGAGCTTGGGCAGGCCATGAGGCTGTTCCAAGACATGCCGGAGGCCAAAGTCCATCCAGACCTGATCACATACAGCTCACTGATAACTGCATCCGTCAAGGCTCAATCAACAGAGCAGGCCTTGCAGCTTTTCCACAGGATCCCACAGGCCAGGCTTTGCCCTGATGTGATCACTTTCAGTGCTGCCATCAGCGCCTGCGAAAAGGCAGCAGACTGGCAGAGAGCGGTGCGCTTGCTGAGGGAGATGTGTGCAGCAAGGCTTGAGGCCAATGTTATCAGCCTCAACGCTGCCATAAGTGCTTGCGAGAAGGGTGGTGAGTGGCGCATGGCAACTCACCTCTTTCAGGACATGGGTGTAGCCAAGCTAACCCAGGATGTGATCACTTACAGTTCAACCATCAGCGCATGTGACCGAGGTGGGCAGTGGCAGCTGGCGCTTGACCTGCTCTGGTGCATGCAGCTTTCCAGAGTATCCTCCAATGTTATCAGCTTCAATGCAGCCATCAGCGCCTGTGGTAATGCAGACGAGTGGCAGACAGCCTTGCAGAGCTTGCGTGACATGCCCCAAGCGGATGTTGTCCCTGACGTCATCAGCTACAACACCACCATCAGTGCATGCGAAAAGGGCGGGGAGTGGCAGCTGGCCTTGCTTTTGTTTGAGGAGATGACGTCTGCAAGCCACGCGCGTGATGTGGTTAGCTTCAACTCTACGATTAGTGCTTGCGCTGCATGCAGCGAATGGCAGCTGGTAATGGTGCTGTTCCAATTCATGCAAACAAGCAAGCTCAGCCCAGATGAAGTGACTTATGGGGCTACGATCGCAGCTTGTGTGGGATCAGCTGACTTGACTTTCCCAAAGGTTTCAGAGCGGAAAACCAATCTGCCGTAACTCCAGCCTCCCTGCTTGGATTCCCAGTTTAGGGTTTAGATCTGAAATTGTCAATTTGGGGTTCCTTGTTGCCAATGAATCCTCGGCTTTGTTGATCCTGAGACATTGATTGAAGGCAACCTTTCAAATTAGGGACCTGGTATTTTGGTGTACTTCGTTTTAGCAAGCTACCTGGGAGTTTCTCGAAATCGCCTCCACATCATGCTCAACAGGGATCCCTGCAATAGCCAGTTTGAAATCTTTCTATATCCCTAGATCCCTTGAGAACCCGCAAAGAAGGCTGACTGCGGAAAGACCTCGCAAACGCTGGCGGTCTTGCAGCCGGACGGAGCTCGAGGTTCTTCGACTGGGATGCGGATCTTACTTCTGGTTATCGGGTCTACTATACCACCTTTTGAGGGATTAGAATCGGACACTCCGCAGGGATCCATTTCTGAATGCCCTGCTTAGCAACAATAAGAATTCGGCCTTTGGGACTCATAGATATGTCCCAACAAGCTGGTAGTTTCCACTTAATTTCCATTTGATTTGCCTTTATTGTGGGACTATTCCCTCCACACCCTAAGTAGTAGTTTCTCTTTCATTCTCATGTTTCCTTTTCCGGATCATGATTACCCTGAACCTCCAAGTAGAATTTGGGACGTCAAAGCTGGTGAATACTAGGGGTCTCGCGACAGAGTTGCTCTACAACCCTGCGGTAAAAGGATCCCGTTGAGTTATCTGATCGGTCCCTGGGATTCTTGAGAGAAACCTCTCTTTGAACAACTTGTATATGGAGGCACCTCAAGTTTCTGTATTGGGATACTCCTCACCCCCTATAAACAGGTTCCTTATTGTATGGACGCTCGAAAAGACGCGCGGAAACTATGAGAACTGAAGAGTCGAGCAGAAACTGTGTGCAACTCGCTGCGGCGGTAAGGATCATGCACCGTAAGCTGTAACAGTTTGCGCTAGTTGAGGATGACGGTCGGTAATGCCCTGGAAAGTTTGTAATTGTATTCCCCAATCCCTGTAAGAAATTCACAGAGGATACCCCCAAGCCCTATTTTGACTATTCAAGTTCCAAGATTATTTAGTGCTCCCATGGTTGGCGGAGTTTAGAGCTCTCAGTTTGGGGTCCAGGTTGCAGGCGCTGTCACGACGGGACTGTTTGATTCAGATGCTGGATTCGGTGGACTCCCTTGCCCAAAGCTGCCAGACTACCATCTCCGCAAAAACCTGCCCAGACCCCCTGACAATAAGCACGACAAACCCAGCACACAGTTTGTGTGACGAACTTTGCAAGCCTGAGCCCGTCGCTACATCCTTCCAGCTGAAATCCTTGCTTGAACCCTAAGCTCGCAAGGTCCCAAAGCCTGTCCTCCTGCCCCAAACTATGTTGCTGTTAAAGCTACCTTATGGGTGAACCGCATTTTTTGCTGCGCACGCATATGATGGTTGCCTATTTTAAGTTCCTTTACAGCAGCTCAGTGTAGGGCGGATCATTAGTTACAACACCTCTGATCTGAAAAATAAAGAGACGGACGGGGGCACTGAAAGAAAGATGTCTTGGCAGCCCATTGCCTTTTGGGTCTGTTGGTCATGCAGACGCTCAGTTAGCCCCAGGGTTACAGAAAACACTCTCAACACCTCAAACCTCGAACCTGAAAACCCAAACTTCAGAAATTACGGATGACCGGAAAATCATCTTGCTTCTGCTAGAATACTGTTATTTAGGTCGCGTCTTGTTTCGCTTGTTCCAGTGACTTCCTTTGCAATCGTATGTCCTCAAGCAGCTGCAAAGGCCTAGTACCAACTTGTAGATGCTGTCTTGTACTGCGAGGCTGTTTTCATAACGGGCTTCCTGCTCCCACCTATGCAAAAGTAGAATGCGTTATCTTACGGGCCCGTTAAAGGATGCTTGCAGTGGAACACCCGAAGCCTTCCCGCTACTGTAGAGCCTGCTCCAGGCTGAGGCTGCAGTCGCTGCGGCCGAGGCCAACTATGCATCGTCGCACCTGGTGCGCTGCTCAGATGCGGCTTGCACAGTGCACTGCGATTTCACTACGTGTTTTTTGGGTATCTCGGTTTGAAAGATGTCTTTTCATGTACGATGAGACCATCCGGTCTGTTCGTTTGGATGACTTGTTTTGTTATTATTGAAGGTACAAAGGCTTGAGAGCGTAGCATTGAGAGTCTGCTCCAACACCTTGAGTGCATCCCCAGTGTCCATGTGGTGCACAGCAGGCCAGGACAACTGGCAAGACAGAGCGGGAGGCGCTAAGGGGTTGAGGTACAGAGCGCCCAAAAACTTAGGCTTCCTTCTTCGGCACTAGCCAGCTTTCTGTTATTCCGACAAGTCTGAGCACTCTTAGCCCGCTGCCTCTGCATATGCTGGGTATTGCTTTCAGCCAGTGGCTACTGGCATCCTGCTCGGCCTCCCACAGTGTTGGCTTCTTCTGGGAATTCTTGAAGTGAGCAGTTGTGAGCCTGAGGATCCACAATTAGACCTGTCGACCTTGTCAGCCCCTGTTGTGTTCGCAACCTTCTGGACATGCTTGATCATCTTTAAATCGTACTGGCCCCCGGAGATTTTGGCATCAGGTAATTCCACTGTGGGGACGGGGTTTTGCAATTGCGGGCGGGGGGGGGGGGCGGGGGGGGGTTCAAGACTATGAGGTGAACAAGTTGGCCAGCTGAAGACCTTGTTTCGCATGCCTGCCGCCAACCCTGGACATTGCCTAGCCTAGTAACATCCTAATCTCAAGGCCCCACCTCACCCCAAAGTGTCATGGAGGCCAAGCGGCAAGCTGTTCAGCAGCAGCGGATAGTGTGGGCCCTAGTGAACGTGGATCATCAAGGTCGAAGGCCCGGCTACCTCAAGTCAATCACAATCCGCAGATTCCTGTGTTCTTCATTCTTCGCTCTGTAGAGTCACGCCTGGGGTCCCCATATTTCATTGCTTCATTTCTGTCGCTGGGAGTCGCAGTGACGGGAGAGGATTTCTTCAGGTCCTCCAGCCGCAGTCAAGGTGCCTCAGGGCCGGTCCCCGTTTCAACCTGCATGTTGGACACGCCTGCAACGCAGAACCTCCACATCAGCCCGGTGAATCCTTCTAGGGAATCCTCGTGCATCACCCGTTTTGCCCGGAGGGGCAGCTTGAGACTTGATTGAATCCTGGTAATGCCTCCTTTGAAGAGACATTTGCTCCCCATGAAGTCTTTGAGCACCAAGGCACAACGCATTCGCCGAGCAGCCCAGCGGGCAGAGGCGCAAAAAGGGAGTGTTCTGATATGGCAGCAGTCAGGATTAGCTCGGGCATTGGCATGGTCATGGTCATGGTTGTAGGGGCGGCAGCCGTGGATGATGGATGGTGGGTGGTGGGTGTTGCGTTGAAGGCTGCCCTCGCACAACTGAGCACGCCCAAGAAGGGGCGGAAGAGGCGCTTGCGATTCTCATGCAGAAAGGTGACGGACTGGTAGAGTAAGAAATTCAGAAAGTAGCTCGAAGAAATGGGCAGTGCCAGACGAGGCCCGTATGACCGCAATTCACCCCACATACCCTGCTGAGTAATTCGTTCCAGATGTCTTGCACATGAAAGGTTCTTCAGCCCCTGACAGTCAGGTAGCCTTGAAGGATAGGACTTTGTGTTGATCGTGGCTTGCACATGTTAAGCTCAAGCTGTATTTGAGACAACCACTGTCTCCATAAGCAGCTCAGGGTTCCAAGCAGCAAGCTACGCAAGAAAACATGGCTTTCACGCCCTTTGAATCCGGTGTGGGTGGCCTCCTGATCGGCCTCTCAGCTGCCCTTGCATACTTGGCAGATGGGAAAATCACAGGGATCAGTGGAATCGTGGGGCCCTTTTTGCGGGGTGTTGGCAAGTGCGAGCCGATGAAGGATGGCCAGCTTTGGAAGGCTCTTTTCCTGGTTGGCTTGGTGGTCGGCGGCCTGGTGAACTTTGCGTTCAACAAAGATTTTGCTTATCCGCCAGCCTTAGATATCTCAGTGCTGAGGTACTGCTTGGTGGCGTTTGTGTGGGGATAGGCACCCGTTCTGGCAGAGGTTGCACCTCCGGGCATGGCATCTGCGGTCTTCCTCGTCTAGCTCCACGCAGCTGGATCGCCGTTCCCTGCTTCATGGGCATTGCAGCAGCGACTGTGGCCGTGACCCGGCACGCTGCCAAGCTGGATACTAGCGGTCCATGGCAGGTGGCAGAGATCCAGTGGCCTCCTAAGTGGGAATTTCCAGTGGCAGCTGCCGCCTCAGGATTCTTTCTAGCTACCTTGGCGGTGTTCCTGCCCTCGAGGCCTTGGAGCTTTGTGTCACCCATGGTGTGCGGCATCATCTTCGGTTCGGGCCTGGGCGTGGCTGGCATGACCTCGCAGGCAAAAGTCCTGGACTTCTTGGATTTCGGAGGGACATGGGATCCAAGCCTGGCTTTCGTCATGGGCCTTGGGCTGTGTGTCTCTTTCCCGGCCTTCCTGCTTGCAGAGAGGGAGGGACGGAGGCCTCTCTGCGAGGACTGCAGCTTCGAAAAGCCTTCTAAGACCGGGAACTATGGGTCCCTTGTCCTTGGCTCCATCTTCTTTGGTTTGGGCTGGGGCCTGGTCGGCATCTGCCCTGGACCAGCTTTGGCTGCCACTATCCCCAACTTGGCTGGCGGGGGTACCGGCCTCTCCTTCAGCCTTTGTGTACTGCTGATCCTTGTGTTCTGGCTAGTGACAGACCGTGCCATCAACTGCATAAACGCTCGGATGGCGTCCCCAATTGCGAACGAACTCGCAGACGACAAGGCCTAGATGATCGTAGCATGCGAGATGTGCAAAGAGTTCCTACAGTCTCCCAACGTGCTGGAAGCACAACTGTTTCAAATTCTGGTTTCAGGCGCTGTCCTGATAACCCCGGGGGGGGGTCCGGCAATCTACTGTAGCACACCCAGGATTAGCCCTCGGCTGTCCTCTTTCAAGAATATCTGCAGAGCGACTGTGAGCAGATTCAAGAGTAGCGGGAGCCAAAATCATCTTCATGAAGTCTCACACGCTGTCCATCGTCTTCAGCCACTGTCGCGATGCAGCTTCTGATTCTAAAGTAATTCTAGTCTGCAAGCTGGCGGGCTCTTTTGCTGCAGGGTTGCCTGAGTTCCTGTTTTTTTGTATGAAATTGATTTCAAGGAGTGCAAAATGCACAGTCCTCCACTGCTCACGCAGCAGCTGCTGAAGTGAAAAACAGGTACATCCTTGCCCCCTTGTTGTGCGAACCCGTGCCCTGGCACTCTGTCTCAACCCCCGGCAGGCGGCACCGCGACCTGATTCCCATGAGCAGGCTGGGTCCTGGATTCCCTGCTCTGGCTCCGGCCCAGGTCTAACATGCCCGTGGCCCGCTTAGGGTTGCTGCAGGGCTTCTGGGTCCTTCAACTCAAGGGGATGGCAGGGAATCCAGGATGGCTGAGCGCAGCTGCTGCACCGCTACACTGCCGCGACACCGCTGCACCAGCTCAGCTTAGAGTCTTAGAGGGCCAGGAGAAAATTGCTTCAGGAGTTCAAAGCGATGAGCTCCATCTTGCATCTTCTGCGCAGTCTTTGAAGTCGCATGCCCGCTTTGCTTGGCTCAGCTTGAGCAATCGCTAGCAATCCTTTAGCTCGCTTGCAAGGCATTCAGCCCATGAAATTCTAGGCCAAAAAGCAGAAGAATGTGAGGCGCATGTAGAACGACGCAGGCTCCCTCCCCATTCCCCTTCCTGATCCGATCCTCGTGCCTGTCCGGCATTTTCTTTGAAACGCTTCCTGGTGAGACGCCTGGGTCTCGGTGAGTCATTGATGAGGTCCATTCGAGTTCTTGGTTGGTGTTGATCCTCGACCCCTGGAGAGGCCCATCTAAACTCCCGGTATCCCCCTTAAGAACCCCTATAATACTCCCCTATATAATCCCTCATATATACCCCCAGGACCATTTGCAAAACCCAGCAGCTCGGGATCAAGAGCGGTTTGCCTCTTTTTGCCTGGATGCCTGCCATACGAACCAATGTTAATGTCCGTCGCCCCACTTCTCCGGCAAGTGGGGGAGGGAGTGCTGTGCATGCCGTGCGAAGCAGGCGATTAGCCAAATCCATCAACTTTGGGAACATCATGAGTGCTGAGGAGGCAGCAAGCTTTGAAGAGGAGCTCTTCGAGCTTCCTGACTTTGTCACCGATGGCTTTGACCCGCACCTTCTGGGTCGATTGAAAGCAGCTGAAGGGTCTATGCTTGCCGCCAAAGCGCGGGTCGGAGCGTTGAAGACGATTACTGCAGCTGATGCTGAAGAGCTTTGCAACATGCTAGGCCTCAGCGTCGCGATGCGAATTGAAAAGTCCAAGGCAAAGAAGTCGGATCTACTTCACGACTTGGAAGCCCGGCCTGACAGCCTCGATCTGGAGGGCTTCGTGCTCTTATCGGGACCGCTGATGGGTTTGCCACTGCCCGCCCTACGATTAGTTCCTGATGAGGACCAGTCCCCTCTGAGCCTCGAAGAGATGCTCGAGTATCCCGAAGCCGAGGCAATCTTCAAGAGATTAGCCTTGGACGAACATGGACGCTTGCCAAGCAAAGTCTTGGCCACAGAGCTGGCAACGCCCTCCTCCGAAGTGTCTACCTTCTTTGCGGAGAGGGCCATGGAATGTTCGCAGCCAATGAAGAGCCGGGCGAAGCTTGTCGGGCTCGTAACTTGGCGGATCGAGCGTGATGATGCATTGGGCACGCTCTTCTTCACATTTTTGCTGCTGCTTGTCCTGTACTTCTTGGTGCAGGAAAACCTGATGATCCACAGCCGCCAAAAGGCGGAAAGTGGAGTCGCGCAGTACTTATCTTCCTTTGGTGGCAGTCTAAACGGACCGTTCCTACAAGAGCATGTTGCAGATGTGGCTTCCTTTTGGAACTGGGCGCATCATTCTGGGCTTCCGGCCATCCTTGGAATGCCGGTCATAGATCGTTTTGGACAGAGACGGCTGCATGTGGCAGGATTCAACGTGCTTCTGGGTGGGAGCTTCTCAACATATTTCACACCAGGGCCCCATAGCAAAGTTGGAATCCTCTGACATATCACATGTCCTTAAAGTCCTCGGAAAGTCGAACAATCCCCTTCTTTGAGAACCCTTTCAGGTGATGTGATGTTGTCGCACACCGCCCAGGATGGAGCTGTATCCACCAAGTGGCTGTTGCACACAGACACGGCACAGGACTACCTCGCCAACTACACCGGGGACTACCTGGGGGCTGCCAGGGCTGCTGTGCAAATGCTTCGGAGAACGGACTCCGACTTGAACGACCCCTATTCTGAGGAGATCGCCCTTAGCTTCAACCTACACAATGCTCCGGCCAGCATGTTCTTGAACATCCAGGTGCGCTCGCGCTTCTTCCGGACAGGGGATATTGATGTGCGGATACAGCCAAGTGCTTGCATGGACAGTGCTGAGCTTTCTGCAACCCAAGCGGTGCTGGACATCCTCCTTGTGGTGCTCATCAGCTGGCTCGCCCTGGCGGAAGCCAAGGTGCAGGGGAATACAAGGGTTTAGGGTTTAGGGTTTAGGGTTTTGTGGTACTGGTACCCTTCTCGGGGGTGGGAAAATGCACATACACAGATAAAAGCACGCATGGCCATGTAAGGTGACACTGTAACTCTTCCCCCTGTAGCTGTCCAACACAAGGATGCCTTTGCGGCTCTGATGCACGGCTGCCGAGCCTTCACCTCCTACATTGGCTTCTGGAATACTGTCGACTGGGCTTGTATTGGTTTGGCCATAGTGACAGCCTGCATTTGGGTACTTACTGGCCTGCGAATTGATTCTGAAAACCTGCAGTTCGCTCGTCAGGAGGGCTTTGACCCAATGGCTTCAGACGAGGAGCAGCTTAGTGTGATGCAGGAAGAGCTCCTGAATATCCAGAACTGGCTGCTCTCCGTCCGAGTGCTGACATGCTTGCTGACCCTAACGGTAATCATGAAGTTCTTCAAAGGATTCCGGGCGAATCCGAGACTGCAAATTGTAGCAGATGCCTTGATGAACAGTGCCAACAACATAGCACACTTCTTCATGATCTTCTGGACCTTGTTTTCCTGCTTTGCCGTGATTGCACATGTCTTGTTTGGCAACGACATCGTAGAGTTTGCTTCCTTGGGCAACAGCCTGGAGGCCTCGATGAGCACCCTCATGGGGGAGTTTGAGTGGTATGTGCGTGCCTCAAGCGTGAAGTCGGGTCTGATGAGCTCAGGAATGCCCATTCTTGCCGTGCATCTTTGGTTCGTCGTTTACATCTGCTTCGCTCTTCTGGTGCTCTTCAACATGCTTCTTGCTATGGTTCTGGACAGTTATGCAGCAGCGGCGCAGGTGTTGACAAAAAGGGCCGATGCACCAACAATCATCCTTCAGACGTGGAGATATTTCCAGCGCTGGAAAGAGACGCTTCGCTTTGTGCCGCTCCGGCACCTGGCCAATCAACTCTACGACTTGGACTGCCACCGGCAGAAGGTTGTGACAACAAGCTCGTTGCAGGAGGCATTCCCCTCGATGAAGCAAAAGCAGGCTGAGTGGGTGATGCGCACGCTCTTCCAAGAAGATAAGCGGGCGAAAGCCACGCAGAAGGCTCTGGAGGGCCAAGACCAGAGGCATTTCTTCACCCAGGAGGGTCCAGACCCGAGCTCCATCGCCTCAGCGTGCCTTCCGGCATTCAAAGCAGCTGCAGAGAGCTCCTCGGCAGAGCTTCTGACACGGCTGAGCGTGCTTGAGGCGAAGATTGACGCCTTCTACGGACATGCTGGCCTGATGAAGGAGAAGTCCTACGAGAGTGCTCTTGGCACAGTGGCCAAGGAGGTCGAGTCTGGAGTGACACGACCGGAGGTGATGTGCTGCACCGTACCCGGCGAAGCACGTCTGTCAGTGTGAGCCTGATGGGACACATTAACGGGCTGCATGCAAATGTGTGGGAAAAAATGAGAAAGCTCTAGATGTATTTTTCTGTAAGCTAAGCACAGCTAGACCCAGAACAGGCCTTTCAAGAATCTACATCACGTGCTTAAGGTCCGTCCTTCGCCATGGTGCTGCCCCCGGAGCTCCAGATCTATGCGGAGAACATCCTGCGGCCGCCGTCTCAGGTTGAGAGTTTGGGGATATGAGGCTTTGGGGGTTTGGAGGACGGGCGGCTTTCAGATCAATGCTCCGTCTTGGATCGTGCAAGATGATTTAGCTATCGCTGGGAGCCGTGTTCAAAGAGCCCTGTTGGCCAGAATTAGGATATACAGTCCTGCTCCCTGCAAGCAATCCCAAATCTGCCGCGCAGCTTAACCCTAAAATCTTGAGCGCTCACAGTCCACGGGGTGTAAGTCAGGCCTCATGCCTGGGATTCTGGGAATGTGCGGCACGAATGGTCTTGTACTGGTAAGAGTCCAAGACATGTTGCAGGGTCTTTCGGCAATGCGACATGGGTCCAGGGGTATTAAAGTCCCCAAAGCCAAGAAGCTACGGTTGTTCTATGAGGAGAATACAGTCTGACCTGGCAACAAAAGTGCTGCTTAGAAATGGCATATGATGGTAAACACAGCCCGCCTGCGTATCTTGTGGACTTGAAGGAAGGTGGATTCCTGCCCTGTCGCACTATTAGTTGGAATGCTAGGACTCTTTTGCCAATTCTACAAGCATATTCACGTCATCTCATGATGTGACTTCTGTGAACCTCCTAAGATTGGCTTACATCCTCCAACTCCCCAAGCCCTGATCAGCCTCAAATCCAGGCGCTTCCCCGAAGAGTTCATGGCCTTGGGCGCCCCGAACCTCGAGGTTTGGTGAGTGGATTCTACTGCATGTGAACACACCTTTCTAGTAGGCTAAAGCCGCTGGCCCAAGCATGTGGGATGCTTCTGCAACCGAGTTAGCGCGAACATCTGCTTCTTTTCTGCAGGAGATCTATGACTTGCGCCCGAATGGGACATGGCCGGGACCTTAATCGATCTCCTCCCAGATGTGAAGTGTCCTTCTCAGCATATTTACATGTCTCTCTCCAAATCCATCCCGGGAAAGCGTGGGAGGGTCCCAATTTCTAGACACAGCTATGTCAATGGAAGTATCTGGATCTGCTGCAGATGTCATGATGAAACCAGCAGGGTTTTGTCTTGGTATCTTTTGCTAAGACCTTACTGGTTTCTTGTTGTGGAGACAACATCAGTATTCGGGAGCTCCCAGTAGAAGAGCTGTTAGCCAAATGCAGAACTGAAGGACGCTGATCAGCCCACCACATAGCACACTGCACACTTTGTTCTCTAGCAGAGATGCCAGAAATTCTAACTGCCATGCACCAAGCCGAGGTTGTCCTATAGTAAATTACTGCATCTAAAGCTTTGGCTCTACGTCCTCAAAGGTTCTGGTGGCTAGTAGGGGATGGAGGAATGGATCTCTGTAGCCCCCTGCTTTTAGTCCTGAAAGCAGTCCTTTATTTCACGCTCACTAGTAGTCAGAAGCTTGAACCCACCACTGCACCTTGAACCTTGTATCCTAACCCCCACTAGGTGACCAACGCACAAGGATCTAGCATCATGATTGTCACCACAACAGCAGGTCGCGAAAGATGGTTGAAAGCAGCGCCGAGAAGACCATTGAAATTACGCTGAGGCATCTGAGTTGTTTCACGAAACACAATCCTTGGCTTAAGGCTAAGGAGTCTTCAATCTAGGGTTTTGCAAATACCCAGGGTGTATAAGGGGCGCGGTCTTCACGAAGCCCCAACCTGAATGCCAAAAATCCGGATGAGCTCACAGATCAGCAGCACACCATCTCAGAGACATTCTACTTCATCCAGACCCGCAACGAAACCAAGCAAATAAATTCCTCAGGATCGTATGGGATTGTATGGCGCCTCGTGTTCGTTCTTAGGCCCTTCTTTCTCTGGGTGACCGTGCCTGCAACAGAGTTGAACACGAAACAACAGCCGCAAAGTAAGGTGACCCCATGCAAAACACTTCAATGTGAAGTACAATCTGAAGGCTGCGCCAGGCTAAACCTTAAACCCGAAGCCGGAAGCCTTCAAGGTAGCCTGAACTGCAAATCCTCAAGAAGCCTTCGCGGTAGGCGGTGGCAAGCACCTGTACCAGCATATCAACAAGCTGCGGGCCAAGTCAAGGGAGCTTCTGACGCCTTCAACACAAAGCCCTAAACTCTAACCCTGAACCCCAAACCCTAACCGCTCTAGATCTTGCACCGTACCCTTAGACCCCAATAAAGGGGCCCTGAGGTCAGATCTGCGGATTTTGGTAGGATTGCCGCTTTGCTGTACATTCACGGAACCTCCACCCACGCACAATACCAGCACCGTTGGGTCGCAGGTAACATCCCTAAGGTTAGGTACTTGATCAGATACATTGGCTGCAACACTTTTCTGCGGGGTCCCGTACAATGAGATCACACAAGGTTATGGGAGCACCGCAGGATTCCTTGGTGGGCGAGGCTAGCAGCAATCCATAAATGCCAAAGAGGAGCATGCAGGGCTGCAAGCCCCATATGAGCTATAGTCTAAACTCTTTGAAGGGGTGGGATTATATAGGGGATTATAAGTTAGCAGAACCCTTGCCCATTTTGGGGGGTTTCTTATGTTAAATTTATCTAAATCAAAATCATTAAAATCAACATCTTCTAATAACATTCCTTGTTGTGTTCGTTTTTGTCTTTCTGGCAATATTCTTAATCTTTGTGTTCTTGCTTCCTTAAACATTTCTTCATAAGTGGGGCGTAATCTCAACATATATTATTATATAGATTAAACTCATAACAGCACTTCTCGCTCCTGCTACCACTGCTTCCTTTACCGCTTCTTTTCCTGCATCTAATACAGCACTACCTACTGCTTTCGCTCCACTTGCTATCGCTCCTCTTATTCCACTTGATGAAGAGCCACCTTTGCATTTCTTCATGTTCCGCCATTCTTCCATCCTACTTCTCAAAAGTTGGTCATTTATTTCATCAGTCCATTTACCAGTCTGTATTAATCGTTCAACAAAATTTACCAAGTAATCTTTTTTTGTTCTTGTTCTTCCTTTACCTTTTATTTTAAGGTTTGCCGTTTCTTCTTTTTGTTCTTCAGTTAGTTGTATTCCTCTTAAATGTAATTGGTATAATATATCATCTACTGAAACATCTTTGTTTTTCCATCTATCTATATTTTCATT